AACCCCCCAAAATCCCATCAATTTTCAAACCTTAAAAATACCCAGAAGGGATTACTGTATTTCCACGAATAATAGTCATCCCCCGATTAATTGCCCCCCTCGAATAATCACCCTCCTTTGTTGAAAATGTTTCAAATAATCGCCCACCTCAAATAATCACCCCCCCCTCCAACCCCTTTCTTTCATTCCTAGCCTTCCCAGTCAAGTTACATATGTAAAAGTTTACACCTTGGATAGGAAACAAGCTTTGATTCAATTGTTACAACAGGAAAACACAGGTTTCATAACAGTTTTTAAATATAATCGCCCCCGGCTTTTATTCGAGGCAATGTCAGTAATTTGATAATGACGAACAACAGTACAAATTGAGTTTTTGGGTTTTCTTTGTTTGTTTATGCATACTACATGTATCTGCAATAAACGTTCCCAGATCTAGTGGCAACCTCGTTCGCAGGATCTCAAGAGAGACCCTGGGAACGAGGTTGATCTAGTAGTTACGAGCTGTGATCAGTGTAATGCAAGCCGTTCAAATGGTCCATGTTGCTTCTTTCTAAGAGTGTTCTTGCTTTGTATCTTAGATCTAAATCAGTATGACTCTGAATGTAATCATTGGCATATTTTTTTAAATGATTCAAAGAAAAATTAACTCTGTATTCACAAGGGCTGAAGGCATTTTGTTGTATTACAAGGCAATGACAATATATCATGCCTACAATATGAAGTGAAAACAGTTATTAAAAGTGTGTGTGTGTCAAAAAATCTTGCCTTGGAAACACTTTCAGTTCTGACAACATTATATCATTGTATTAAATAGATTTTGGAGTGAATAAATGACGGAGAAAGCGGTTACTAGAACTTGCCAAGTAGAAAAAACAGTAAAAGCTGTGGTTGTTGGCAAGGTAGACAAACTTCACTTCTATGTCAGCAGTTAATAATTCATTCAGGAAAACATGTCCATGGACCTAGATGAGCTGGTCAAAAAGCTAGCAGAGTGGTGTTTACAGGTATCAAGAAGGGTGCAGTTTAATACAGACATTTCAAAGGATTTCAAAGAGATGCACTGGTGGATTTGGATATGTCCAAGTGTTAAGTGTACAAGTGGATAAATTATCACAAGAACAAAATTTCATCAGGTGTCAAGGCTAGATATGGCTAATATAAGTTTCGGGTATGTATATACCCAGCTGACAGTATTTTTTTACTGTATATATGGTTAAAATATTCAATGCTTTTTGTAGTCAAAAGTAAACAATGGAATAGTTAGTGTCTAACATCTAAAATGTGTTCCATGATGGGTTATGTAGGTAAAACCACTCTATACAAACAGACATAAATAGAATGAATTTTCTGGTTGAGAATTTTTTTAAGTAAACAGTGATTCGCATAAACAAGAAGAATTTTGTCCCAGCCTGAAAAAATTAGGGCTTCGATCGTTCAGGCTGCAAATTAAGCTTAGGTAAATCTGTAACTAAGCAAATAGTAGAGAATCGGAGAAAAGACACACTTGATGAGTCATTTCTTATAAACATTTCCAGAGCTATATTTTATGGCCTTCTCGAGATCTTGATGTAAACACAACTGACAACAGTTGAAGATGTACTTCACAAGTTCACTCAATAATCCAACCTTTAAGTGCAACAAAGGGTAGAAAACGAAATATAAAATGCTACATAGGCTTACACGATTTGAAGGGAAAACAGTTGCTTCGCCCACACGTTATTCAACTCGCCCACACTGTCCATTCTTCGTGCAAAATATAAACAGGTTTTTGCTTTCCTATATTTCGGTCGAGACATTTACTCAAAAGGCTGTTCAAAATCCACTGAGAGCCATAACAGATTCCACGAGTAAACAGTCAACAACGTCCGCCATCTTTGATGTCTCGTTTCGCGCGTGTACGCGAGTATCAGATTCTATCGGCTAATTTTGTTGGTCAACTACAAAACAAAAGGTTTGACGTCACGGAAATCGTTTCCCAGCTCGATTTCGCAGACGGCTAATTTTCGGCGGGGAAACTCGAGCCGGAAATTACGTCTGCTCTCGCAGGCTACTCACGAACCTGCGTGACGAAAAACGTGACTGCCTGATGTAATATATTGCATCATGCTCCGAGCGCCGGAGAAATTCTCTTGTGGTTAATTTTAGCTAATGTAGATTGCATCATATTCAACGTGGGCAAAGATATGTTTTCGCTCAACGTGAAAATAAATTGTGAATGACATATATGCTGTGGAATTGTGTTAAGAAAAACTGTTATGTTTTTTGGGACCGGGTTTTATCGTTCGTTTACTGGTTGAGGTGCATGTATTAAACAGAACAGAAATTATCTTGTGGCTATTTATTTGCATGTCTCCTGGCTACGTTTACAATGTAACGGGAAAACCCCTCACACGCAAAGGTCACACCGCCAAATTTAGCACATTTTGCAACAACACTGCTGTTCACTGCTGTGGAACATTTGTCTTTGCTTTTTTCAATGCGATTCCTGTAATAAACTAAATACATATACGCACTTACACGACACTACAGAAAGCCTGTGGAAGAGAAATTCTCTACTGGCTAATTTTAGACCGAGATGCGATAACATCATGTCAACCGTGTAGAGGACTAGGGCTAGGGACATGAAAAAAACCGTCCATTTCTAGAAGCGTCTGGGCGTCGGCCGCTTAAAAAAGAAGAAAAGAAAAACTTGACCCGTTGACATAAGTTCCCTTCTTCTCCTTTCCTCGGAAATTGTAATTTTTATGATTAATTGGTAATAAGACTTCGTGTCGTCCAATTCTGTCTGTAATCATACTCGTGATAAACAAATCGGACTCCCGCGAAGCGCGGTCGTCCGATTTTGTTATCACTCGTATGATTACAGACCGAATTGGACTCCACTCAGTCCTATTACCAATACAAATTAACACTATACGGCTCATGCATAATATCCGTGGGTTTTTAAAATATAATGTCGTTGTTTGCGCATCGTTAGAGGTTCGCGAACATTAAAGCCGCGAAACGTAATCCACAGAATGGAACTGTTAAGGTTTTACTCGTTTACTTGCCATAGCATAAATACAGTAAAATACACTTTAACGACGACTGCGACGTTTTTTTCCCGCCAAAATGGCACGCGTTATCGAGTGTTTGATATATCTTCACATTCAAAACACAAACTTAAGGCCCTGACACACTAATCGACTTTATACGCTAGTCGTGGCGATCGGCAAAAATCGCCAAGTGTGCCCGCTTCTGCGACGGCGAATTTCGGTAGCGATTTTCATCGCCGCGACCAGCAATCAAAATCGCCGATATCTGGCATGTCAGATATCAGCGATAAAATTTGCCAGCAATTGCCGGCGATCGCCAAGTGTGCCCGCTCCTGCAATTGAAATCGTCACTCGCCAACTATTCAACCAAGCAGTTTCTCGATTTCCGAGAATGTCTTGGGACCGAATCGTCAGAAAAATCGCCGGAAAAATCGCCAAGTGTGCCGCAGCACGCAGCGACGAAATTCGCTGGCGATTTTCGCTGGCGATCAAATTCGCTGCGACGAGCGTATTGAAAATCACCTATGTCGGGGCTTTAGGAGTAAACGGCGAAATAAAATCGTAAAAATAAACCTATCACCTACATGTAGCTAGTGTGCACTGCATCGGCAACAATGAAAATTTGTGTCATTTTGTCGCTATGAATTCAAACCAGTTGAATTTGTGCCAATTTGAATTTGTGTGACCTATCGCGGGGACAAACGTCTGTCGCGGCGACAAGGATTTCATATTTAAAACGGGCATGTCACACGAAGGAAATTGTCGCTGCGACCTGTCGCCAAGTGTGCCCCGGCCTTTACTGTATTATAAACGCGATGCAGTATTAATGGGTTTCAGAAAATATTATGAAATGAGCTCGAATACCGGCAGAGTTAACCATTTCCTTTATAGGAGGCGGCGTGCATGCCGAGTAGTTTAGGGCGCTACATTTGAAATCTGGAGGTCTCAGGTTCAAATCCTGCATCTTGCATGCCAGTAGCAGGCCTAGGATTTGTTCTCAGTAGTCCCGAGTTCAACTCCTCGGATCGCCCACGCTTTGTACTTGAAATAGCCAACTGGTTAGCGTCCTGCCAGTTGGGATCGCATTGTTAACACATTTATGTTCAATTTGCAATATTTGTTTCTTCATCTGAGAAAATTTAGGGACTACTCGTAGTCTATAAATACATCGACACTTAAAGAAAGTCGATTTTTTAAAGATTTGAATCAATGTGGTTCTTATTACAGGTTCTAATTTATGAGATTTTGTGCCTCTTGCACAAGCCGGAAAAAAGAAATGGCCCCAATTTAATTATTCATAAATAATTCTGCAACTTTTTTTTTCTCCCCTACCGAATTATCGGTATAGCAGTGTCCCTTTGGGGGTTATAAGCAGTATTGTTTTTGACACTCGAGAATCAATACAAGTTAAATCTAGCACCTGCCTTGAGAAAATCCAACCTTTTTTAAAATAACTTTTCTCTTATATTTTATGCCACGATTTATTTGTCAGAAGAAGTTGACAGCCTGCACGTATCTCTTTTCGGAATTCAGAAATCAGTCGCTTTTACTTCGTCTCTTTGTTTTGCAAAAAAAAGCGTCATCGCAATTCTTAATTACAGTGGAATCCAGATGTCTTGAATACCTCAAGAAAATCGGTATTTCGAAATAAGGAGGGGTAAAATTTACAGTGAAACAAATCCAAGGGGAAACACGACTTTTGGCTCGAGTTATCGAGGCGTTTTGGGAAATCGAAGGGCTGGAGAAATCGGGATTATATTAATTAATTGAATTAATGTGTGGTCTACTTTCTTTCTTAATTTTTGAATGAATTTTGTGGTTCATAAAAATGCGAATTGCTTTACAACTCCATCATGTTTACCTTAGTAGCGTTCGAATTACCAATTCATGCCAGTAAACTTGAATCACACATTTATAAATATTTAAACATATTTTCTAACGCCTCGACAATGCTCAATGTCGCCTCGACCAGTCAAATTTCAGATTCACAAAGGAGTGTGGCAATTGTTATATACCAGTTTCCTTACATTACAAAATTAACAAAACGGATTCACGCCTTTCATTTTGCGTCTAATGAACTCTAGGTCATTACCATCTGCCTGTTTGTTGAAGAGATTCCAGATACAGATTATCGGTGGAAAAAGCCGACAAGAAACCGAACTAACAAATAACAAAGACACAAGCGCCTGGAGATGCCGCGTGAAAAGAGCATTGAAATGTGTTCCTATTCGAGGTACTTGATTTTCGGTCAGCGTGTTACATCTTGTAGCAAGCTGGAGGGTAATTATATTGGTTTTGTAGAAATGGTGAATTTGAAACTATAGTCACATTTAAACGTTAAAACCCAGTTATATGGACTAAGCTTCAACGAGTCTCTGGTAGCGGAATCTTTTGTATCAACCTGTATGTCGGAATAACAACAATGATCGTTGCATTTCCTACTGTTCCATTTTGTGATCTTGGTCGACATCGTGATCGCCGACTTGACTTAACGCCTTTTCCGAAATCCGAAGTAAAGGTGATAGAGCAAAAACTTCCATGCCTGTTGGTAGTGCAAGCCTCATCTATCGAAGTCCGCGACTGTCTTACCACCCGCGAACTGATCGATGTTTGACACTGTTTTTGGTTATGCCTCCGAGGACGAGAACGATGTCCGTTAAGCCCGACTATTGCGCTAAAATATGGACTGTTTTGCAGTCTAGTCATACATGTAGGTTTGACTCCTGTTGGGAGAACTCGAAAAAAAATCCGAGTAGCTTGCATTGTGTCACTGACTGATTATAACATCTTAATTTTGGCTGAAATGTTGCCATAATTTTCATTAACAGAATGCTTATCAAAAAGAAACTGAGAATCGATATATATCAAAAATGGTTATTTCAAATAACCAATTTACTGCCATTGCCAAAAAATGGTTATTTTTTGCAATGGCAGTAAATTGGTTATTTGAAATACCATTTTGGGATTTCATTTTCATTGGTTATTTTAATACCCAAATAAGCTACGTTGATAACGGATGGTTTATATCAAATAACCAAAATTTATCCCTGTTAAGAATTTTAATTATTTGACATAACCATTTTGACATCATGGTTATATGATATAACCATTTAAATAATGATAAAAAACCACTCAGTTTCTGCTAATAATAAATTTACAAACGGCGCCCCACATGATTCTACCATTCACATACCACTGTCATGCATATGATAGCATCCATTAATTAACACAATAAACAATAACCGGACCTTTACTGGAATTTGTTTTGGCATTCCAAACCAAAACATAGATATATAAATGTATATATAAATAGATCATTATGCCTAAAGTGAAGGATTCCTCGCGTCTGTGTTTGCATTTTAACTGAACAATTACAAAGAAGGATGGAAAAACAACAAATAAAGAGGCATTGTAGGGTTCAGGTTTGCAGGACTACTTACTTTCTATTTCTACATTCCAAAATGCCGGCCTGCTGTTCGTCCATGTTTTTTTAATAGTTTTTAATTCGACACTCAGTTTTTCAGTTTTGCGATATTTAAAAAGGCAACGAAAAACTTGGTGTGGCTGAGCTGGAGATCAACTATTGCATGTAACATCAGCCACAGGCCTTCTCGGTTGGAGCTATTCTCGCCGGAGGGAGTAATAGGGACTAGTTTTGTCTTAGAATTGGTACCTTTTAGGGGTGAAAATGAATTTGCGCCAACAAAATGAGACTGTCACATTTATGGGCACTTTCACATGCCTGTAAACTAGCCTTGAGCTAAGTGCATTTGCCATTATAATAAAGTCTCTTCATTCCTGCTGGTCCTTTGCTAAGCGTAAAGCTTGCTTTCAGTTAAGGTTTTGAAAATGTAGGTATGCCTCTGCAGTCTTCTTCCAGCTGGACTTGGCATTTGTTATATAACCAAAATTATGTTGTTTTTCTAAGAATGCGAAGAAGCACTGGGAATGAAAGTGGTAAAATTGAAGATTCTGCACTATCAGCCTCTTCGGATATGATGGAAATCACGCTGCGTCACGGGCAAAGCTTAACCTTCAGGCAGGTCCAGTCAAGAAAGGCGCATGGTCAACGGCTTCCAATGATCAGAGCCAATGGCTACAGGTGGATCTGAAACTGACATAAAATTGACTGGTATAGCGACTCCAAGGAAGAAATGAACACGCACAGTGGGTGACCAGTTATAAGTTACAACACAGCAACAATGAAGATTCCTTTGCATTTTACCAACAGCAAGAACAACAAGCAGATAAGGTTTGCCGAATTGTCCTAACGTCACTTTAATACAATGCGAAAAAGATTGGCAATGAACAAATTCCAATTTTACATTTGTGGACGTACAATATGGCAATAGGCCATTTCCGAGCTGTCCTTTTGCCTCTGTTTCAAGACGAGTCCTCGTGCACAACCATTCATGTGAAAATGAATTTCCTTCGCATGTTTATTTCATTTGAATGGTTGGTTTTGGGGATGACGATTTCCTTAACTGCAATCTAAACTGCAAACTGCGAATCTAATTCAGTAGCTGCTTATTTTCAAATAAAAAGTAATTTGTATATCTGACCGGAGTTGAAAGAACGTGGCAGCAGGACCTAAAATGTACTGAAACCGCTACAACT